AATATCTGGTTCAAATATTCGGAAGCTAACATTCTCCTATCTTCATATTTAGTTTTAAGCGTTTCAAATATTAATACGTAATTGTTTGCTGTAGGTTTAAAACCCGAGCAGATCGATTGTGCTCTGCCACTAAGTTTGCTAATTAAGTAATATAATTTTTCAGCGTCCGATAACGATGGGTTGTTGTGTATATTGTTTTGAAAACTACTGAAGAAGAAGGGCCACGTCTTAATATCACCATTGAATACCGGAATATCTATTGGCGGTAACCTAATTGAGTCACGAGGGCGTACCTGTATTTCCGGCTTTGCTTCGCTTTGAGATTGTAGGAGTTTTGCAGTTCTTTTTACGCGACACAACATATCTTCGAATGCCAGCAGCGGTTGGTAGTTCACTATGTATTTCGGGTCGCTTTGTAATTCCAAATGATTAATTTGGTCTAATATTCTTTCGTAATCTATCCGCAAAGTATCTATCGTTTCGATTTCATTCAAAAAGGCTTCCCGCACTGCCTCTATATTAATGTTCTTTATATAATTACTTATATTCTGCACACGCGAAAAGAGTATGTCCCTCTTGGCATAAAGCGTTTTAATTTTGATTTCACTTCCACTAACTGCCATTTTAAATTATTATAATAAAGTTATATTAATCACAATTAATCTCACACGCATAAACGACGTAGGATGAACACTCGGCGTGCCGTATTACGTAATCAGATCGAACACCCGTTGCGGTCGAGTCTACGCGTCGTTTGCTAAACCTAATAATTTTATCAAAATTGTGGGTAAGCGTATCAAACGGTTGCTATCACACCGTTTCAATTGTTTAATAAGCTTTAAATTTAACCAAATACGAGCGCTATTAAATGAATAATTCTGTTTGCGAGTACCAAATCAAATTTTTAATTTAAACGAACACTATTTAAGTCTATTCCATAAATTACAGTGCGTTATCTAAACAATTAATTTAAAATTCGACCAGAAAATGGTTGGATAACCACTAAACACCAATCCAGATCCTGCCGAAGTGACCATAAAATGGTGGAGCCACGTGTTTAAGGCTGCCGAAAATCTAGTTCCCCGGTCAAACCTCAAACCTATTACGCGAGATATTAACTAAAGTGGACTGTATTTGCGATTGCTTCTATGCTTATGTAAAAGCGACTACTATAGCATGCGGTACAATGCACTCGCTCTTCCCTAAACTAAAACTATTACTTGCCAAATCGATGAAAGGAATCCTGCCTGATGGGGAGAACACAGAATTGGAGCGGTTAAACAATTATTAAATGTTAATCAGGCAGTAAATTAAGGAATGTTGACTCACCGGGGTTTCTTCTATCCTGTCGATCACTATAGCGACTTCTGGAACACTCCGGAGAGAGGCGGTGCGCGACGATATCTCACACGAGGTGAGGCGGGTTCCTGGAGCTCGACTGCTTCCAGGCCAAGGCGGTTTCCACTAGTGAGGTGTTTCCAAACGAGCGCGCGGGAAGAGGAGGTTGTAGTTCAACGACGGCTGCGACGGGAAGAAGAGAGCGCGCGTCGGTCGCGCGTGTCTTATATATCCTCGGCTCCGGTGATTGCGCGATGTTCTAGAATCGTCTTCTTTCCCTCCCACCCCATCACCCCGATGTGTCGATAGGAGGGTACGAATGATATCGTTTTGGAAGGAATAATGATTCGGCAAGTTCCTACCGTCATAAATAAAAAACGCGAATGGTTTTCCGCGCAACCATTAAGTAAGATTATTTTTTATCTTACCTTAAGAGTAAATATGGTATATAAGAGTATGTCGAATTTAAAAGGTTTTGTTTTTTAAAGGTTCAATTTTCATTTCGTGTCGATTTAACAAGAACAAGAGACTTCAATGGCAACAATATATTTTAAAAAATTTCACAAAATATAAAAAGACGTGTGGCACTCGGGGACTGCCGCGGTAAAGCTATTGCATAGCATGTTGTATCAACTTATGCAATTATAATTATTTTTTATTTATTTTATTTATGCAGTATTTTTTTTCTTTGATATTAATTCAAGTTATACTTTATGAGCGTGGTGACCGACAAGAAAACAAATTTAAGAGGGCTACTTTTAATATCAAAAATTTAGGTTATCTTTATAACAGTATTATATTTTCAATTCAAAATTAATACTGCATTTGTGATAATAATAAAATGTATGTATATAGAGTACTTACTCATTTTCTTTCACTATTTTTTCGTGACTTTCTTCACTAATAATAAATGCACTCTATTCATTCATATTCAAAACACTTTATACACAAATTTTACAAGTACAGCTATTCATTGTTGTACATAAATACCTATATACTTTCTCATAAACAGCTGCTTATGTATTCGTCCGATTTCGGAGCAGCTCGTCTCGATTCGTGCGAGCTTCGTAGAGTCGTACAATACGTTTAGTTGTACGCACACAAACACCGTGTCGAAAACTGCCGTAAAGAAACGACGTTAGACAATGCACGGCCTTCAAGCCACACCTCCGTGCCCGTCGGAGTGGGGAGCGTGAGGTTTTTTTTCGTTACGGAATTTCTGGATTCGGTCCCCGCGCTCAAGGCCCTCGATAGAAGCTATGCAATAGCTTAAAAATATGGGTTGACTTGTAGAGAATTCCTCAAGGCATTAAGTCTGCCCTTTGTATTCTTTTGTTTAAGGATGCAATAAAGAATAAAATAAATAAATAAATAATATATCCATATAGAAACTGAGTAAAGTGAATTACATCATATCCCCATATTTTGCGTAAATTGCATCATAGCCCCGTATTTGCCACAGTCGCCACGTTTGGCAAGCGGGTTGGCAATCACAGTTTTTCGAAGTGAAACTTTTTTACGGGAGGGATTTGAAATTCTGATCCGCAACATTTTTGTGTGAAGAAAAGTTGTACCAGGTCATTCGGTCCATTATTCAAATCGCGAACGCAGGCCATTACATACCATAAAATATATAGTAATACAATAAAAATTACAAGATTAAAATGGTCTTTCATTCAAATACTAATCTTATACATATTAACTTTATATAAGACAGGTTCCAAAGTACACGTATTTATTTAAGAAAGAGTAAGCGCATATCAGTAAATGCGCCATCTACTACATTCTATACGTAAACTCAATGTATTGAATAAAAATTGATTGACTAAACTACGTTATCTCCACACTAGGATTTTCTGCCGTATGGGGCAGTTTAAAAACATAAATTGCATACAAACACTTGCACAGTGCGGGATTCGAACCTGCGGTTTTAGCATTGTAATTAGTCGTTAAGCCGCTGCACCACGGAAACGTCAAATTTTATTATTTAGTTTATAGTAAGTTTTCATTTAATTAATATTTTATTGACATAATATAAAACTGTGGTTTAATTAAAATAAAATTACATAAATAGTAGATAAATAACGAATTAACAAACTAAACCGATAATTTATTTTCTTAAGATCGAAGAAGATGATGCACTGTGAGACATATGTATGTGAATAAATGAATGATATACACAATCCATGGTATTCAAAAGTCATTGATAAATCATTGAAATGTTTCCCTGTAACACAAAAGTTTCACTTCTGTCGTTTGTCTTCACAACACACTGTTTTTAATCATTATTAGGAAGACGTTGCTGCCCGTCTCCTGATTTGTTTCCTTCTGTCACTTTTTACGGGATGATAAGTGATGGTAGTGGATATCCTCACACCGTCACTACGCGGTACAATAAATTATAAACATTTATATTATAAAATCTAAAATAACAAACTATTTTATGCTATATTTTCACTTTTTGCATAATTGTATGAATTAAAACTAATGTACGAAATGCGCACAAATATTGCTAATAAATGCACAAACACAACGTCAAAAATTAATTATTTTATAGATATTATTAACTTATCGAACGGCATGCGCCACCAAGGCCGTGTGCGTAAAATTTAATTCTAAACTGAACATCCAAAACATAAAAAACTTAAACATAAAGTTGTCTAAACCAAATATAATACGATCATACAAATCCAAGTCTTGTCGTCGCCTCAGTGCTTGTTAGGCCAATAGACCGTTTGAGTAATTTTACAGGAGGAATTTTTTTTTTATTTTTCTATGGTATGACTCAAATAAAGCTGTAATGTACGGTAATTTCCAAAACTTTGGCACATCTGGACTTCTAATAATCTGTAAAAAATAAAAACTTTTGACTTTAACATTGTGTAAAACCGTTTTCAAAATAGATATTGGAAAAAAAACGAAACTATAATTACGTCAAAAGATATACACTACATTCCGTGGGATGTTAGCCAAATAGCAACCAAAAGTATTCTGTGCTTGTTTGCCCTTTAGCCTTATTTCACAATACAGGCTGTGAAATTAAACCAATCCACTGCGCATCATTATTATATATTTATAATAAAAATAATAAATGAATTATAAATTCCTTTTGAATCTCTTGACTACTGATCTTATCTAACAGGCCCGAATTAAAATTAAATGTTGAATTTATAATTATATACTACCGGTGCCCTGCGGTTTCACTCGCGTATAATTTTAATGAAAGGTACTGTCGTTTTGTGTTAGCTTGACAAAAATGTGATTTTTGTGTGGGAAAGGACCTTATGTGCTGAATCAGTTCTTCTATTTTGCTTTCGGCGGTCTGTTTTTTATGTGTTTTCCTTTAAAGGGTATGGGAATCAATTTCAATTTGTTGTTGTAAAGTTTTTTGTAGAAATAATAAATTCTTTTAGCCGATATATCCAAAGTACCATAAAAAAGCTTCTGACATACCTTCACTTTTTGCTCATTTTTCAAAAAGAAGTACTGAAATGAGAACTTTCTTCTGCTTCTGTTCTTTTCCTTTATTACCGTACCCTATATGTTAATTCGTTGTAATATTTGTTAATCTGGGTATCGTTTAACGAATTTTCAACTTTTCGTCACATCCAGCGTGAACCTGTTTTGCTGGACATTTTTTCCCTTTGATATTTGCATATTATTCACCAGCTTCTCTTTTTTTTCCTTGCAATTCTCTGCCAATTTTCAGGGCACCTTTTTCTCTTTCTTGAGGATTTTTGTTCTACAACATTCGCAGCGTCATTAGCATTACTGTTAATCAATATGATAGATATTTCTAGTTTTAGTTCTGAACTACCAGGGCAAACTATGTAATTTTTTACTGGCGTAATAGCGCATTTTTCGGTGAATGTTTGTTCGCCTTCTTCTTCAGAATTTAGATCGTGTCCGCTGCCGTTGTTGCAAGCAATGATATTTTTTACGCAGTCCACGGTAAGTAATTCCATACCTTCTTCAACATTTTCGGTTTCTTTACAGGTCATGAAAAACTTTTTCTTCACTCTGTCAATCCTTATAAAATAAATTTTTAGTTTTTATTATTTACAGTTTATATTATAGTTTAGGTAACATTTTAAGCTTCTTCAAATACTTATTTTTACTCTACTAATAATATTATCAATATGAAAGTTTGTTGGGATAGATAGATGGATGTTTGTTACTTTTTCACGCAAAAACTTCTGAACAGATTTGGATGTTACTTTGCACCCGGATGGATTATATCCTGGATAATACAGTTAACTTTTCTATCGTGAAACTGCAGGGCGAAACTAGTACTTTATATTTTATCAACCTATATTTTTTCGAATATAAACCTACAGTTCTTTTTATTTTTAACCGACTTCCAAAAAGGAGGAGAATATGCATTCGATGCGTATTTTTCATTTACAAGTGATCCTCAGGTATCTTGGTTTCCTAGTGTCGGGGCCGTAAGTAATTCTATCTTGTTATTTTGATTTCTTTTTCAAATAAGTTATTTTGTATTCGTATTTTTTTGTATTACTAGTTGTGCCCCACAGTTTCACCCGCGTAAGTCCTGTTCCCGGAACACTGGAATAAAAAGTAGCCTATGTTCTTCTTTAGAGTTTCATCTATCTGTGTAATAAATTTCATCAAAATTGGTTCAGCGATTTAGGCGTGAAAGTTTAACAAACATTCAAACAAACTCACTTTCGCATTTATAATATTAGTATGTACATTTATAGACTCAGTTAACATAATAAAAGCCCCTAAAAATCCCTCAAACCCCTTCCAATCTTGAATAACTTAATAATGCCTTCAAACGCATATATAGCAAATAAATAAACTAAACAAGCGAATAGAACAAACAAACAAACGCGAAGTTCCCGTTCCCACATAAAAAGTAAAAATTTCCACTGAGAGTGTCTTCTACTATCTACTACTACTATCTTTATTTTTATCTTTATTTATCTTAATATATCTTTAAGTGAAAATCCCGTCAAAATCGGTCCAGCCGGCCCAGAGATTCGTCCGTTTGAAAAAACAAACAAACTCTTCAGCGTTGTGAGTATGACAGAATGACAAAAATATGATTCTGAACCACCTGTATTACAGACTCAACGTGACCTAAAATAATACCACAATGACTAAAATCAACTTACATTTCGTAATATGCAGTATTGCGGTTATATTGTTTATCACAACTGGTCCAGGGCATAAGTTTCAAAGTTATGGAAACACTTTCCACCTCGTTTCACTTGTAAATTCACTGAAAAACTTAACAAATCTTGCAGTTCTGACACCGTTTTTGTCGCGATGTATTGTAACTAAACAATATAGCGGAACATCGAGGTGTGACGTCATGAGCGAGCAGGCCTTTGATTGGTTAATTTGAGGATATACAGCAAACAAGCACGCGCTGGGAATTCCGCTATTAGAATGTTGGTTCATTTGTGGTGGTAAACCATACAAGCACGAAAATTTAAATTGTAACTGTGGATATTGGTTTTTTAGTATAGTCTTTTACTCGTTTATTGGTATAGTTACACGAGTCATTCTTGATTTAGATTGTGTAGAATTTGATTCCTAAGCATACTACATTCAAAGGTCATTTTCGTCCAAATTGGTCTGTTGGCCAAACAAGCACTAAGGCGACTTTGTGTCTATTTCCTGAAAGATCATTTAAATTTAACAACTCTCACAACTATAAAAACTTAAAAATTAGAAAATTGTTACCATTTAATATTCGATCTTGTTGCCTTGGGTAATTATACCCACAATATGTATTGTGAACCGTGTGTGAAAACTACATAACGTCGCAATCAAACACATATTCGCTTCATCTCTTTCTGTACGTATTTACGATACCGTCTCAAGAACGAGAAACAACGAATATCAACTAACGGTTTGTGTTTTACGTTTCGTAAATTTTGTACGTTTTGGTTACTTGGTTTTTGTTGGATATGTGATAACGGTTATGTACTTAAGTTTATCGATACGATATGATATTTTGATAACATAACGTTATTAGTTACGTTTTGATATATCGGTCTCATTCCTAGTACAGACATCTACAATTAAAAATGTTATTATACTCGTATACCTCCAGACCGGATGACTGCGATCACGGCGGCCAGCCTCAACGGGGACTAGCCATCGGACAGGCAGCATTATAGTGCCTAAGTGTACGCGCAAGCACAGGTTCACTCTCTTATCCCTTACTCTCATGGCCAAATGTGACGTTAAACCGACAAAACCGGAGAGAGATTAGGCGCAGGACCAACAGCTTTACGAGCTTTCCGAGGCACGGCGATGAGACACCGCCAACTTCCTGACTCCGGGCAGCTGCTTAGAATTTCTTGACAGAAAAACTCAATTGCTGATATTTTTGGGCCCGACCCGGGAATCGAACCCAGCACCTCATGCTCATTAGCAGTCGCACTACTACAACCACTAGACCAACAATGCAATCATAGACAATTATATGTATGGATAGATCATATATTTATTGAAACTATTTCTTTCCTGAAATTGAACTTTTGATATAATATACGGTGACGATGATGTTGAAAACTAAAGTATGGTTGATAATAACCTCCAGTAATGAGATGGTTGCTTCCACGTAGTTTATTAAATAAGTTTTGTAAGTAGTTTGTACAATCTTTGTTCTTTACTGTATTACTAGTGATCCGCTCCTGCTTTGCACGAGTTTCAGAATCTTGACCACAGCACCACCTATTGTACCTTCCCATTGTGATTTTAAATCATCCGGTAATCCAATGTTTGAGGGACACACAAAAATCAAAATCGGTCCAGCTGTTTTTGAGTTTTATCGATACTAACAAACATTTCCTCGGACACAGGTTTTCTTGAATCAGTGGTAAAAAATTACTAGTATTTCTAATAAAAAGTACTTTTTACGTCAAAATGTTAATAAAAATTATCTTTTACTTTCACTGCAAACTAAAAGAAACTTGAAAGCAGTCAGGAAGTCCCTTGCATTATTTGTGTAAGTGTCGCTGTGAATAAAGATATTATAGCTTCAATTCATACGGCCAGCAGAGAAAGACCACGTTTCAAATCCATATGTCATCAATAGCTACAGACTCTAATTATACACTCTTATTTTCAGGTTTTAGTAAGCGTGACGACAAGATGTGTCGTACCTCCCGAATGCTGTTCAGCCGAGTTGGATCTGTCGCTTGACTTATGCGTTTAAGTTGAACTTAACTTATCACTTTGACATATGTAAATACTCTTCAAAAACATCGAGTTGTTAAACAATAAAAAAATGTATATGTTGGAACTATCCTACAGAGAAGACTAGCTGGAAGGACAGACAGATTATCTGTGAGATCAGTAGCCTTATATGGTTTACCGATATGTCAAACATGAATTCCGAAGTATGTTATGAATTTAAGGGGAATTAACCAAATTTAAACTTGGTTTAAAATTGAAGATATTTTCCTCCTCATTCCAGGAAATTACACCATCATACCATGCACGATTAATCTGCAGAAACGTAATGTTAATCAATTACTTTATGCACATAAATTCTGATAGTAAGTCACTACTGATAGCACTAAGATCAAACTTAGAAACGTCAAAGATTGTGAGACAATACGTAAACCGTTTAAATGATCTAGAGTACAAGAAGAGGGTCGTCTTGATATAGGAATCGGTCATGCGGGTATTGCAGGCAATAAACATACTAACAAGCTCGATCCTTAAGAAAACTTAGACTCTTTACCACAAAATATTTATCATTGTTCTGAATACATCAGGCTTAAAATATTTTCAAACTTTGGTCCGTGCATATGCTTGAGTAAAATCCAATAAGCCCTGAGATTAAGCAAAATGCAGCTGCATGTGGGACACTGCTTTAAAAAACCACATCTTGAGACTTAGCAAATCAAGGTCTGTTCCTTAACTTAATAAACTCTTCTGCACATCTTAACCGATTGCGAACCCTTAATGTGCAAACTAGCACCGTGTACCAAACTACAAAGAGGCGTATGACAGGGTAAAGTTATATCCCTCAAACTTTACCATTGTATTGGAAGACATTTTCAAGTTGCTGAATTTACCTGGAAGGTATACGTTATAAATATCAATGACGTTAGCGTAACTCGTGGCGATATAATAATTATGGAGGAGTCACCTCGGTAACTTCTCCCAACAGGTAGGACTTAATATGAACATTGACAGGTCACAAGTTCATTTCACATTTATGTCGGTAGTTTTTGGGTTAAAGAAGATACATGATATCTGAGGTCATCTCCTCCATGCAAATCAAGCATGAATCTTATGTAGTCTGTAGGAATGCAAGTGTGGCCGTGGTAGGAAAAGGGGAGATCTCCCGCCGGGCAAGGTGTTCTGCCCGGGGAGCGGCCGACACTCCGAGTGATAGTTCGGAGAAGTTCTATATATACTGTCTATGATTCGGAATGTTGATAGCGTGATTTAGGCTTCGGTGTATTTCACTTGTGGCGCGACGACAGCGCCGCTACATCACCCCCCTGCTCAGACCAGAGGTCGATAGTGCAGCCTCGTTGCCGACGAATGTGCAAGTGCCAGGAGATTGCCTTGTAGTCTGCGGTGAGTCGAGAAGAAGGCAAGTAATCTGCGAGAGTGCCGTGAAGCAGAGGCGAACAGTAAGGCTCAGAGCCGTGCCAAACACTGTATAGCGCAGAGAGTAGCTTGAAGGAACAGGAAGCATTATTATTCCAGTGCTGCGATGAACCTTGTGAAGCTAGATGGCTTGCAGGATATGAAGACTGCAGTTTATATCTGCTCGGGAGCGAATGGGTGGGGTATTCTATGACGATGATGAAGCTTGAAGTTTCCGAAGGTTGTTTGGTTGCGTGTTCAAATCACGTCGGGGTCACCACTGTGGCCGTGGTAGGAAAAGGGGAGATCTCCCGCCGGGCAAGGTGTTCTGCCCGGGGAGCGGCCGACACTCCGAGTGATAGTTCGGAGAAGTTCTATATATACTGTCTATGATTCGAAATGTTGATAGCGTGATTTAAGCTTCGGTGTATTTCGCTTGTGGCGCGACGACAGCGCCGCTACACAAGCTTATACCGCCCTGAGCGTTGATCCTATACAAACTAGCTCTCGCCTGCTTGTCTAAATATATATCAAGAAAGTATAGCATTGCGTAACATATGTGACGTCATAAAATATGTGATTGTGGACTTTGTAGACAGTAACTTCTCTGAAGTCGACTTTTAGTTGGCTATGAATTGAGATCGATAAGTTCAATAGGTTAGGATCATAGGCTCTAGTTGTTCTCAACTACACGACTGGACGTGCCTAGAGCTATTTTAGTTATGTGAAATAATATTGAGAGCTTCGAGTTCTTTATTGGTCAATAGTTAAGTGTTTAATTTAGTTAGTTATTATACTAGTTAGTCTAACCGCTACTATAAAATAAAGGTTAACAACAGTTTTATCGGCATTAATTGATAAACTGTTATCCTTATACTAGTTTATTTATGGTGCTTAGAGCTCATTATGTAATTTATAATAACTTATATTGGGAGAAGCCCCTTGCATTTGTGGCGTCATTAATCTGAGAAATAAAAATAAATAATTAAAATTAAAATAAAATACGAAAATAAATAAGTAATATAAAACGTACCTTGAAGTCGTGTCGTATCGTCGCAGAAATCGTAATCAAGTCGTTGAGTAGTAAAGACGCCCCGATAATGCTTTGAACAAAGGATTGAAGACATCGAAGCGGCGCACCCGCCACGCAGTTAGTAAGAATATAGTACTGTGACGGTAAGACGTATGACGCTTGCGCCCGGCTATTGTTTTTATTTGCTACTTGCTTTGAACTGTTTCTTCCTTCCTGTGCTGATAACTTCTGTGCTACGCTTTGTGCTAAATTATAAACAGTATAGTATATGTGAACCATTGTATTCGCGAACTATTATAGTATTCGTGAACTATTGTGTACGTGAATTATCGTAGCTGTGAACTATAGCATAGGTGAACTATTTAATTGTGTGAACTGTTCTGCTTACAATAAATTTTATAGAAAGTGATTGGTGAGTAATTTATTAAGAATCTCCCCTCATCACTTCACATTGGCCATAAAGACATCAGCGCAACCCAGTGCGTAAATCCGTAGGTCTGCCATACCGTACTATTATAGTAAGTATTCCGCAAGAGTCTAAAGAGTGAATATAGTAAACCTCTTTGTGGTCGTCC